ATTCTACGATCTATGTGACCTACTGCGTATCTAAGCTTGGATACGGTAGCCAGTTTAGACAAAATTTTTGTTTTTTAAAGGTTGTGACATTATCGAATAAAGCAGTGTGATGACATATAATGTAGTATTTCACTTCATGAATATTCGTGAAATGCTCAACATTCCCTTCGAAAGAACGGGAAATAAGATCTCAACTCGAATAGATGGATATGGTTCATGAACTGTGCATTTGTAGGCGTATCCAGTTGTTCAGACCCATCCACGTGAGTGGAATACGGTCCAACAGATTGACTGTTACTCTGGTTTCTTTGCAGTATTGAGTGAAAATCGAAAATTTTGTTCCCATGTGGTATAATTGAATATAATTCAAAAAACTGTGCATGATTTGAGCATTCAGATTTTGAGGCCAATCCAAAATGAGTTGATATTATAGTTATGTTTTACTGCTTAATAGTGTGGTAACATGTGTCGCAGTGCGGTGGATGGGAGCCAGTGGTTTAAACCATGCAACATTCATTTCAACAATGATAAACCGAACAACTACTCGAAAGGTTGGGAAAATATGAATAACAAACAAAATAAGGTGTAAACCAAAGAATTAGATAAGCGTACGGTGGGGTAGATTTCAAGCTGCCACTTCATCGATTTGTTGGTTGACAGATTTAATATTAGAATGAGCCTGCCTCAAGTTTGCAATCAACCCTTGGAGTCGTTTTTGTAGAGTCACCCATTGATCACGTCCAAATTCGCGATGTTGCGAAGATGAGACAACTAGTTCTCTAGTCATTTCATTAATTTTTCCCTGAATGATGAAAGATGATTAGGTCACTCTCTATTGTTATATTCCCCACCGAGATGGCGTTAACTTGGATAGCTTCGATGATGAATTCTTCAAGTGCGTCGTCTGGAGATAAATCCAGCTGAGCTCCTAGTTCATTCATTCCAATGGCCTTAAATGCGAAAATAGAACAATCTATTGAAAGTTATTACGTTGTTATTTTCCGCTATGGTCATGAGCGTCAGAAGACGAATTTTCTTCATGATAACATCTTCATCTACCTGAAGTAGCTAAAATGTGAAAAGACAAACACAGCTTAGTGTACTCTTAATTTCTTGGTGACGAAATCGGGGTTCGTTTTGACAAATGCTTTATAATCTTTCAAAGTGCCCGAGATGAACAGTTCGAGCCCTGAATACATGAGTGGATCTGACTGTAATGAGAAAAGTATAGGGAACACTTCTTTGGACATCTTACTTTTTTCAGTGCTTTAACAGCACTTAATCGCTGCAAGTGATCGAAAGAGAATGATTTAGGGTCAACAACTGCTGTACGGACACATTCTGCAGCATCTTCAGCCGCAGATCCAGCATCGGTCTCAGTGTAGGTACCAAGAAGCATGATCATAATCTGATTGCAATAATATCACTGTTTTATAACTCGTATGTCATACCTTCGCCGCTTGATCAGCACGTTGGTCATTCAGTAGTGCCAAATGAACAAGACGCAAAATATCTCTTTTACCTTCAGTGCTTGTATTCCAGCGAGAAAACTGTTTCTCGAGAGCCTGGATGAATTTAACAAACAATTTGAAACTCATCAAGTTACACGTACCTCAACAGAACAATCCAGCTCACCAATAAGTCTAGATTCAGAGCACATTGCTACCAAGCTTCTGTATACCTCTTCTTGAATAGTTGCATGAGCGGCGAACCCACGGAAAATATTCGATAGAACACGAACAGAGAAGCCAGCCTGGGAAGACTAGATAGTTTGTTCATAATTAACTGACGTTACATTGCTAGTCCATCCTGTACCCTTGAAAACACTAGGGTTAACAGCCTTGCAGAAGGCAGAGACTACTTCGGCTGCTCGCTCAACAGGAATTGACACAATAAGTGAACAAACAGAACTCAAAATGAAATCCACCTTCAATTATTTTGTTCCAATAACATAAGGCTCAAAATACTAACCTCAGGAGGGTTAGTACATTTATTCATAACATGTAGACCGGCACATATTTCAATCAAATTGCTGGATACATCTTGAGGACCTAAAAAAACAATTTAAATTTAACTTATAAAAGAAGAACAAAACCATCCTCCGCTAGTTTAGCCCCAACATTATTAAGATACTGTCGCAGCTCTCTGAGCTGAATTGGCTCTTCGATAAAAGCAAAAACAGGAAGAGCCTTGTGATCGGCCATGCTAAGAATTGATTAGATTTGAATAAATGATAAGTCAGAAATGAAAAACGCTGCTAAACGTTCGAGGATAAAACAAAAACATTGTCAAAACGCATTTTATTTTGATAATCATACTACCCGTAGTCCAAAAAAACAGGACAAGAAAATCAAATCCACTCTACCAGTTGAAACTTACGCTTTCCCCAACAAACCAGACTCAAATTGTTTGTTTTTGGAAGGATAAGTGAACGAAAATCAATGATGTGATCGGGCTCAATGAACTGAAAGAAACAACTATTCAATTTATGACTCCATAACTTACTTTTTTGCCATTCACTTTGAAAGCTCCTCGAGTCATCAAAATATCTCCCTTCTGCTTATCACTTCTTGTAGCACAAGCCAATTGTCCCATATTTTTTAAGGATACAGAAATCTTAAAAAATATGCTAATGCTTCAAGCTGTATAGATTATCCACCTTGGTAGTATTTCCAAATATGTTCAGTAACTCATTATGTTCCAACATTAGTATCTCGCCTATGTCGCCTTCAAATAGAGCACGGGTACAACTCAGAGCTCTTTCTAATCCCTCCTTTCCATGAACGACTACAGTCATTTCTTTGGCCAATGCTTCTTGAACAATCCATTTACCCAAATTTTCATTATGTTTTTCCACGATTGTTATCATTTCTTCATATGGCAACAAACTTAAGCCAAGAGGAAAATGAATGAAATATTAAAATACTGAGGAACCTGAATTGTAGAAACAACTTTTCAGCATCTGTATCGTGCAGTTGCTTGAAATATTGGAAAAAATGGAATGGTGAAGTTCTGCTGGGAGAGAGCCAAATCGGAGCTCCTGCTGACTTTCCTAGTTTTTTTCCGGAGCTATCTATCAATAACGGAAGACATATTCCTGTAATAAAGATGAAATATAACAAGTTAAAGAGTTTTACCTGCTGCGAATCGATTAGAATTTCGATTTATATAATGAGCTCCTAAATCGAGATGACCAAGTTGATCAGAACCTCCAATCTTCAAACTGATACATGTGTACACTATGAAAAAATTGTGGCTAACTTGGAACAAACAATCTTCTTTTTTGGACAAGTGATACCAATCGTACGCTTGCATCGTTTGGTAGCTGAACTCGGTGAAAGATATACCCGAATTATCCGTCATTCTGTTCTAAATTTATTATTCTTCCTCAACTAAATAAACGACTCACCTTTATGGCTCCCATGCGTAGCATCTCTCCTAATCTGTGAGATTTGCAGCTACGAAGATAATCTATCATGGAAAACTGAAGAAAATTGTTAGTATAATTAGTGTTTTCCCTACATCTTTGAACCATTCGTAATTGTTCATCACTCTCAATGGAATAGCGTTAACCGTAGGGGCATTACAAGAAATTTTGTATAATTGTTGTTCAATAGATTTAGACTGCTCGAAAACTTCCTCAATTTTAGCCTCATCTCGCTCTACAAGAAAATTTTAAAAAATACTCGAGTTAATTTCCGCAAAGAAATAATAACCTCACGAACCAGTATCACGACCACTGGGGTCACCAATCAAAGCTGTAGCTCCACCAACAATCGCTATAGGTTTCACACCGAATTGGCTTGCTAAGTATTATATTCATAAAAACAATTTCAAAACAAATCAAACCTCTTAGTAAATTCAGAAGAACCAATAAATTTCCTAAATGTAAACTATCAGCGGTAGGATCAAACCCTGCATACACACAAGCAGGTAATTTACTGAACTACACTGTGAGAAAAAAATGCTCAACGCACACTTACATAATCTTTTCTTCATGTTCTTCGAGAATTTTAGATGGATAGCAGTTCGCAACCAGATTTCTTCTGTATAATTCTTTAATATACTTACTTACACTGTACCTTCTAAAAGAAACTCGATAACCTCATCTCTAAAATTTCCGCTACCTTGGTATGCTAATAGCATTATTGAGCCTTGATACCTTCAGCAATTGGTATACCATACTATTTGATCAAATGTATATAACCGATTCGAAATACAAACGAATAAATATTTAGAAAATATAGAGAAGAAGTTTCAGCCAATTTTCATCATTGTAACTTGATGGGAAATTTTAGGATTGCGTACCCCACGTAAAAATGCGTATACATTTTGCGTGAGTTGAAAAACATATCCAAGCATAATAGCTATGGTTTCTGAGGAAGATCGTTCAGATCATGCAAGTGGACAAAG